AAAAAAAAATGAGCCCCACCTATTTGTGTGTTTTTTGTTGATTTTCAGTGGATTTTTTTCTGTACATGTAGGCTTGCTCACAAGTCATCATCCAAAATGTTGGAAATGGAGGGTGTAAATAAAATTGACTGCGGTCATACCTCAATCATTTTTTGAAATAATAATGCTCTTTAGTACCATTGATATTACAACAACAATTTATGTGATGCTAAGTCATAGACTCAATGTAATGCGCACATTAGTACCACCTAAATTGATGTTTTAACAACAGCAATCCTAATTGCCATTTCCCTTTCCGAAAGGTTGAGGATTTATTAGGTCGCATGGCCGTAGAACCCAGCCCAGTCTAACTCATCACAGTAGATGGCCAGATAGTTAGGGGGACGCTACGTTGAGGTGTAAGTTAAAGTGAAACGAAGTGATCCATTTTCAAATGTACCAATTGTGAATTAGAAAATTAGCGGTTCAGGCCACAAACCCTGGACCAAGCATTGCCTTGAGCAAATCTTGCCAAATGAACATTCCCAAAAGGCTGCATGAAATTTGAGCTATTATATGTAAATGAACTCTATCAGTTTTACATCTGCAAAGAAAAAAAAATTTAACCAAATGGTAAAAAAATAAAGTTCCAAAATTACAAAACGAGGCCGATGCAGCATACCGAAAGCTACAAAAGTGCGTTTCTGAAGTCGGACAACTATACATTAACAATACAGATTTCTAACCCCCTTTGTAACATCCTTCATTTTTGTTCTACCTTTTTTCTTGTGCTGAGTAGTCCTACTCCAGATTTTCCCATTTACAGAGACAACAATTTTTCCATTTTTTGTGATTGATTGATTGGTTTGTCAAAAACTCCAATACCTTCTTGACTCAGTATATCACAACTCGAAGGAGCCCCGGCTGTGGTTCAGAGAATTCGAGGCGCTCCTCCTCAAGCAGGTAGCGCTGAACAGCAGTAGGAAGTCGAGCAGGAGTACGGGAACCCCTAGTGTGGTGGCCAGTCCCAACACATATGTAAACCAGCAGACGCTGGTTCGCCGACCTTGCTGCATTCCTCATTACAGACAACTCACGCTTTAGGACATGAATAGCTTCACTCACATGTAAACCATGCAGATCAATCATTTTCTCTCTCCCATTGCCCTGCATCTCTGGATTCCTACAAAATAATCGAACAACCACAATGACATCAAAGCCCACAAGGCTACCCAATGATTCCAAGAAGTTCCCCCACCCTACGTTGACAAAAAAAGAAAGAAAAAAATTGCTACAGGCAGAAAATGCATCCACAGGATGGAGTTCATGTCCAACAAATAATATAGCATTAATAGTAAAAAATGAGGATTATATCTCTAGGGTGTGGAATATTCTTTTTGTCTTCTGCTAGATTATATTTGGCCATCATTTAATTACTTGGAACTTGCTATATGTAAATAAATGTTTACATAAAGGATTACATAATATCACATGACACTATCATTTGCTTGTTTAAAACACGGTCATCTTTTTCATCAAATATTTTCCCTCCACATCATTTTATGTGATCTCCTATGTATCATTTTTATGTACAAGTAGCATAATCCTAATTACTTTTGACATGAATAATATTTTGAGTTAGGTATGGGTCCACAAAACCACAAACCTTTGATGATAAATAGATTCCTGAGCCTTCCCGTGAGCAGCCTTCATTTGCATGTTGTGCAACTGCCCTTTAATGCTCAACTCCTTGGCTAAAGCCTTATTACCGATGAGGTATGCCTGGCGTGCCTAATCTTACACAAAAGTTTCAAAAGGATATAGATCAATAACAAGGAAAGATGTTACAATTCACTGAGGCTTACATACAGTTCAAACTAAACTTTGCATGGTAGTTCTGCCAGCAGAGTTCAATAAAATATACAATCCATGGCAGGAGGGTATGCCAATCACCAAAGTCATGTTGGTTTCATTTCTTTTCCTTTTCTTCAATAGATCTTCATAGTCTTAATAGGGATGGGGAGTAGCAAGATAAGTATCTACAAGTCCATTAACAGGCAGCATGTTTTAAGCCAAAGGCCAATCTACCGAATCCATAACAAAAGAAATTATGACTCTTCAATCCATATATAACAAGTTTAAAGGACAAGACGTGCAAGGAGATGCGAATTATTAGGGTGTCCACACAAATAGTCAAGTGTGTACACTCTTAAAAGTGAGCATGTGGGGGCTCAAACACACAAACACAAGCATATCAAGAGAGAGAGAGAGAGAGTGCTTGGTCAAAAACCATACTCTCTTCACATAAAAAGTATGTTGCATGGTAGAATTCGAAGGTGAAGCACTCAATGAAATATTATTTAAGACCGATGAACATTTCACTTGTATTCACAGCAAGGAAGTAGAAACAGTGTCTAGGGAAGTGGACGACATTACAACTTCTTTCCATAGTACATATGCATGTTTGGCTAAACCTTAAATGAAAAGTAAAAGTTACTTTCAAATAAATGAAGAGTTAATTTTGGTTTTTAAATATTTTATATGTACTTTATTGTACAATTAAGTAAAAAAATTATTTATGATGCAAGTAACTCTGTCCTTGGTGTCAACTTAAGCAACTTGTAATCCAATTTGACCAATAAATGAAACTATCTACTTTAACACTACTCATTTACTTATTAAGTGAACTTTTCAAGTGTAGACAAAAAGCTCAAAACCAGACATTACATTTCATTGAAGTACATTACCTCCAAATGGCACTGTACATTGTGGTCCCCACCATGCAAAAGAGTAAAAGACCACCAAGTACAACGCCTTAATAAAAGAAAATGAGAATGCAAATTAAGGAAGATATCATTCTTCTTTTCTCATTCTTTTCATTTTCCCAATTTTATATGTCTACTCAAATGGCATACCTGTTCAAAGTAGGCATTACGTAGGCGTGCATGATCACGAGCTTCCTCCCGAAATTCAGAATACATATTTGCTGCCATCTCAACAAAGTTAAAGCATATATACATACAAAAAGCATTTGTTCTGCAATTAAAGTTTTGCAGAACACGTGAAATTTATTGCCTCAAAAATATTACCAACTGCTTCTCCAGTTTCAAGCCAGGGAGTAGCCGGACGAGCTGATCCCCTATTTTGCAACCTATTGCCATAAATGTTTCTTCCCTGGCCACTGTTGTAAGAGCTAATGGGCACTTGTGAACTTCTACTTGATCCTATGCTGGCTGTTGAAGAAACATTTGTACCATATTTCCAAATGCTAGAATCTTGAGGTGCCATTTTCCTGACAGCAGAAGCAAAATCTATAGCGCCTCTAGAGGCAAGGGAAGAACTTGATCTGAATAAGAGAGCGCTTTCCTTTTCTGGAGACTGGTAAGGACTAATGTTTTGCTGAAGATCATCACCGGTAAACTTTGGCAAGCCATTTTGGCCATCTGTTCCTGAAAGTGCAGGAAAATCCAATGCGCTAAGATTTGGAGTTGACAAGGCCTTTGAATTTCGATTCTGATTGAAACCTCCATCAACCTGGAGCTGCAATCACAAGTAACTAGTACCGTGAGAGCTAAATGGGAGACTCATCGTGTCAAAATTGCCAATCTATCCGCATATCAATTAGAGATCGGGCACAACATATTCTTTTACAATAATAGGGAAAGAGTAACTCTGAAATCTGTTTACCATACAAAATAAATATAATGGACATAAACTGTTGCATGAATCATGATGAAATAAACAAAATTACCAAGTAAAGCATAGAATGCTTGGAGTTCTCCCAAGTATTATCAATAAAACACTATATTTTTGTCTCTATCTCGTTTACCTCCTCATCCATCACCTCCCTCAGAAACTTGAAACTAGCATAAGAACTACAAAATGAATTATGGAATCTCAAAATCTAACGGGAAGAAATACATTCCCAGTGAAGAGGGCATTGGAAGAACTCATTCCCGTTTCCCAGGTTGATTTTCTCTTCTGAAAATAAATAACTTCATTTCAACTTATAGGGATCATAACGACACATATTGGCCACCAACATTCACCATCTCATCGAATACATAACTACCATGTCAGACTCACCATGTAGTAGCCCCCCTTTTTAGTTTTTTAGATCAGAGATATTACTTGACACAGAGGAAACACGACAAATCATATACAGTTAATAAATTGAAAGGGGATAAAAATATAACAGGGAAAAGTCAGTGGAAGCGATAAGGGAGACAAATCTTGTATTTCAAAACCGTAAAAACTAATAGCATGTCTTGAACTAAAGGAATTTCAGCCCACAAAACACTGCAAGCAAGTTTAGGCCTCAAATACAGTTTTCCTATTTCACAATACATTTTTATTAATTTAGAGAATGAGACAGATTATTGGAAGGCGCGACTTTATTTCTAATGGCAAAAGACCCATGCATTTAAACTCGAATTGCAAAAGGACCCACAATAAGAAAGACTATAAAACTTACAAAAATAGTCTACTCTATTAAAAAAATTTCACATTATTTACAATACACATGTACCCAACATGTTGTATCCTACTTTTCTGAAAAAATGTGTCCGTGTCTGTGTCCTTATTGGTGCTTCCTAGGTTCATTGCTTATTTTTTTGACACTATTATCATATATACAAGTCCGTAGGAACTCCAACAAGAAATATAAAGTTCACAATAATCACATGTTTGTACAAGCACAATCAAAGAAATATAGTCCCCAACTGTTTCGTGATCCAAGGAATGAAGGGTTGCCAATTCTGATACATTAGCGCCAACAAAAAACAAACAACAATATCAAAAGGGTAGGTACAGATTCTTTGGTTGAAATTGTCCAAATAGGAAGCGAGGCGATTAGGGGGCAATGAAGATTGAAAACATACAAAAACAGCAAAGGACAAAGTAAATTAAGATTAGATAAAAGGAAGCAAAATATAGAGAATTAAAAAAAATACAGGCAGGGCAATATTGTGGCGAAAATGTTGCCAAATTACACGTCAAAAGTCCTGGAAGGTTGAGCACAAGTCCAAATACAACTCGAAATCATGAAAAAAATTGACGATTGATGCCAACAGTTAATCTGAAGATATGGCTTTCTAAGAAGGTTGACACAATGATCCACACATTTATCTTTAGGGATTACATTGATAGCCTCAGTTAATACACAAAAAGCACACAACTGGAATGCAATTCAGGTCTTGACACAATTTTCCATCCATTGCATCATTTAATGAAATAATTTTTTTCCCAATATAGCTGTGAAATTAAGCCCCTGTTTGACCCCTATTTTTTTTTTTCAAAACTCATTTTCAACCACGTATTCTCCCATAAAATAATTTTATACGTAAACCCAAAACTTTTCCCTATTATTTAACCACATATTCTCCAAGAAATCACAATTTCAAAATACAATTTCTCAAAAAAAAAAAAAAGTCTCAAACAGGGGCTAAATAGAGAACACCTTTTTTTTTTTTTTTTCCCTTTTCCTCGGTTCCAGATTTGTGTTACGTTTAGACTTAGTTTAGAACCAACAGCAATGTGTACCAAGTAAGAAGTTGGAGTCTTAATTAGATATTCTGCATTTTAGATTAAACATGTTAGAGAAGAAGCTTTTTTCCATAGAACAAACTACCGGAATTGGAACTTAGATCCAGCATAGAGAAGAAGAAAACACAGAGGAGAAACATGAGATCAATAAGTTGATGTCAATCCAAATTAGAACTATGGAGGATTATTACCAGGCATGATATCTACAACATAGCAAAAGCTGCTGAATTATTTCAAAGCTTAAGAAATAGATCCTACCTCTAGCTGAGTAAGCATCTCAATTGTCAAATTCAAGTCGCCTCCATTAGCAAAATACACCTCTGCAAGGCTTTCTGCTGCAAAACCAGGGAACTGTGAAGCCAAAAAATATATAGGGTTCACATCTGTGTTGTCCAGTAACTGCTCATTTGACATGTCAGAAAGAAAAGAATGTACTGAATTTCCATTATATGGAGACCCTTCATGAACATTGCCAAGAAGTTGATCGTCATTAACAATTTGCTTGTCCCATGGGTTAGGAGGTGAATGCTGAAACCCTGTAGGCGATGGATACTCTGCATATGAGACAGGAAATCTCAGTTTTTCAGCATAGTTGTTATCATTTCTAGGATGAGGAGATAATTCTTGAGTTTCCTTCAAAATAAAGCCACTGCCAGTTGAAGCAGAGAATCTTGAGCTTTCACTGATATCATTCAACGATAAGCTTGAAAAGGATAAGCCGTTGATTCCTTGAGTATCATCTCCACCAATAACCTTAAAATCGGGAGTAATGTCGTCAGGGAGCTGGTGGTCCCAGAATTGATGGGCTTCTTCATCTGAATCATTTGGAACAGATGACTCTGATCGATCAAGTACAGCTTTTCCTGGTGTCGAAGCAGATGGGGTAGCAAATTTAGACACTTCATCAACACTACTTGTGCCTCCAGCAGATGATCTGAGAGAAAAAGGAATAAATTCTGCAGCATTTGGATTCAAAGATATTGATTTTGCAGCAGTTAGCTTTTTGTCATCCACAGAAGCCCCTTTCCCAGAGAAGCTCATTCTTTTCTTTTCTTTTTTACTAATTTGGGTCTTCAGTGGGTAAATGAAAAGGAGTCTCTACAATTATCACTTGAACAAACGAGTCCCAATATCGACGATCAGCCAAACCCTGCAAACAAATGAAACCTTCCAAGGTCAGAAATTATAATATATTCAAGATGCATAATCATACAAAATTGAGCTTTTTAACTTCGTTGACACCAAAAATGATAATAACCAGTCTAGTGAAAGAGATAACAAAAAAATGTCGCTGCTTTACTTGTCTAATGATCATAAAGCAATTGACATATAGTGACATGATGAATGATATATAAGTTGAGATAATAACTGAAATGTGTATATCAACGGCATATTACAATACATACAACTACTTAATATCCATAATCTTAATTTGCAACAGTCTACATAATGTAACATGACATTATAAGTTTAAGCAAGAAAATAACAGATAAATTTGTTTTATAAGAGGGTAAAGTTAGTCACTTGAAACATTACCCACTAGCACATCTTGCATTATATATCCAAAAAAAGACATTTTAAAGCATCTGTAATTACAATAAACAAAACCCACAATCTTTACACTATAAAATCATAAAATAGAGAACAACGACCAATAGTTTCGCCATCTTCAAGAAAAAAATTCTAAACGGCTAAATCATTAACTAATTATGCTGTACATGTTCAATTCCTACTAAAAAAAAAACAAAAATACTCAGAATTATCCTGGTCAAATTTAGCGCCTCAAACACAAAATAAAAATCAAGTAAAAACATAGAAGCAACAAAAGCCACGTACTTCAATTATTCACTCAACATATCATAACAGATCTCTGAGATTTTGACCCAAGGATAAAACAAAAAAGATTTAACTTAAAAGGTGAAAAAGATATAATATTTTAAGATCTGGCTACTTCTTGTATACCTTTGCGGAGCTCTGCGACGAAACAAACCATATCAAATGGATCCATAACGACAAAAGCTGGTAATTCTTTTAGATTCAAATCTAAAAGAGAATAAATATATACAGATATATACAGATAGAGAATATGTATGTGCGTATATATAATCACATAAAAAGTGATGATTTTTTTCTTCACTGCTCTTGAGATGTGAGCTGAAGGCGAATTGGGGTTGGAGTTGAAGCTTTGGGTGAGGGCTGCGTGTATTTTTTCTGTGTCTAATCTTTTATCTCTGTTTCAGGCCCTCTCTCTCCCCCTTATTATTAGAAAAATGTTATTCATCCCCCAGTAGGGATGCATCCCAGTTTATGTGGATGTAAATGATTGGTTAAATATTATGTGAAATTAAATTACTTATTTAATTTCACCTATTATTTAATGGCACATAAACGCCACATACACTGGGAATGCATTCCCCAGTGAGGGTGAATAGCTTTTCTCTTATTATTATTATTATTATTTTCTTTTCGGGTTAATATTTTGGACATTTGCAGCACCGGTCCTCAACCTTCAGAATTTATATCAACTTAGTCCTTACCATTTGAAGGATTAAGTTGTCGATCTTAAGGTTTTGATTTTGTCCAACTATGAGCCTGAGTGCCCGACTGACATAGCTTCTTTTCCAATTTGAACAATTAATTGACTGTTGCTGCATGCAAAATGGTACCTAGTGTAGCAGCAAAATTTGACTGTTTAAAAATGAAGTTCCAAAAATGGGTTTCTATCTGATAGGAATATAAAATACACATTTTGCATCTTTATTTAATGGGCTCATATGATTATTTTCTGCCTAAATGTACTTAGTATTCTCATATTTTGG